GGACCCATATCTGCTTATTAGTTTTTAGTTTGATTCCAACCCCAAAATATTATTTGTTCCTTGTTGTTATGTACAGTCTTGTTGTTACTGTTATTAAAAAATACAGCAAGCACAATTAAGTGACTATGAAAAAAGACTGAAAAATGTTTCTTTACTAAGCTCCATTTTACTTTTATTGTACTTTTAATCTTAAGTTTAATGTTATGTTGTCTGTCATTCTGTGTCACCTTTGACTTGTTAGTGAAGAGAAGAGTTTTATGTGATTCTGTACCTTAATGAGCATGCTACATGCTACCTCTTTATGGCTGTTTAAGTTAAAATTGTTCTGCATATGCAGGTCTATTTTTCCTATTAGAGTAAATGAGTCACAACATTATTTTATGTCACTTGGTACAATATTTAAAATTGGTATCCTGTATAATCTAAAGCTGGGCATGTTGTGTCAAGGACATAAGGAAAGTTATAATGATGACTAGGTATTTTAGGAAGACTTGCTCTTCTGCTTAGATACCGTAGGTTGTTTACAGTTTTGGTAAACAAATACACAGTGGTATACAGTTTTGTGTGCTATATTTCAATAAAGACATTACTGCACTTTCATCAGTTCCAGGACAAGTGACCAGATACATTACTGGACTTAAAGAATATCCTACACTGACAAATTATAAGATCTTAATTATTATTTTTAAACAGAGCAGAATAAAATATTCAGAACCCTTAAAGTTTTTGAGCATGTCAACTCGATGGATGTGTCTGAGAGCTGCAATGACGTCAGAAGTAGAACACACCAGTGGAAAGTTTGGGAAACTGCAGCTGAGACTGCGAAAAGGGGGCTTTTCTTTACACAAACTGTTGTGGGAGTCTTGTAAAAGCTACATGGCCACATTGTTCCCTCAATAATACCCTTAGATTGATCACCTACTAACTAGTAAACTAGCTGGGCCTAATGGCTTTTCTCAGTTGTAATGTTTATTATGTTATTTTTTTTTGTCTACCTCACCTCCAGCTGGATTTTCACTTGAAGTGTGAAATAGCACATGTGCTCGTTATCAATCGTATCTCATAACACAAAGGTGGGTTTATACAGAACTCTATATCTGGGTTACTTGTGGTAAAACTTATCTTTGGGAAACTGCAAATCCATTTGGGATTCTCAACAAATCTGAACACACTAACATCCCATCCAAAATCTGACTGCTGTAGATTAATAAAAATTCTATTCTAATTCAGTAAAATATTGAGAGCATCCCAAATGTTGAAGTCTAGTGCTACAAGATGAAAATGTGATTATCAGAAAGCATTAAAAGAACTTGTGCCCTTAAGCTTTATGTGGCCACTATTATAGCTGCAAACTGGAACCAGAAATGGTAACATCAGAAAACTGAAACAGGAAATACCTGCTATTGCAGACGAGAAGTCAAGCTGACAATGCGGTTTTAACATCCTCAGAGTGTGAGTTTCTTAAAATGAATCTTTTCTTTCTAGATGTTGAGAAAAGATTATAAGAAATGTGTATATGTGTAGGAATTTTCAGGAACAAAACTATGCTTTTCAATTAAAAGTAAGTTTTAGACTATGGCAAAGGTAGAGCATATTAAAAAAGTATCTTACATGTCTGTTTCTTTTTTTTCATTGTCTCATTACATGCGGATATTGAAACTAATTCTTAATAATGAACTTAGCATTATTTTCTATCATTGCAAAATAATTGAAAGGTGAATTTGCTGATTTGTAGATTCTGTGCATGCCTGAGAAAATGTCAATAACAATGCAATATAAAAGTTCTATTTTTCATTGTTTAATTTTGTTAGACTTCTTAAAGTTGTTGTAGAAGACTCTTCAAAGCTCAACTGAAATTATCAGCGTTCCATTAATGGGAATTTTAAAAAATATTTTTTAAAAATTCTGTATCGGATCCCCTTTAAAATAAGCTTGGCTGTGAGGAAGCTTTGAGTTTTGACTGCCCTCTGCTGTTAAACAGTGGTTGTGCACCCAAATCATGCAAAGAAGAAATATAAAATATTTCCTTCACAAGCAGGTCTTGTGAAGAGGTGATATCCTTGCATCTAATGATAGAGATCAAATCATAACAAAGGCATATAGTAAATCAGAGAACTTACCATTAACGTATCTATTGAAAGGTATGAGGTGGCAGAAACACTGGAGAAAGTGGGGAGAGGGTGCTGATGAAAATCAGATGCAAGCAAGGACAGCTGTCAGTTAAGGATATAAAGATCAGAACTACCCGGCAGAAAGCAAACTTTTGAATTAATCTGAGAGGTCTGAGTGCTGGTGCAGAACGGTGAGCCTGGAGAGAGTCACAGCACACCAACAGAGAGAAAACCAGCTGAAGAGCTAGTACAGTAGTTAAGAACATGTAACAGTGAAGTAGATGGCTTCTGAGTGGCTCAAGCAGTAAAGCAGCTCACCCCTGTGCAGGCTTGAGCTCCGGGATACAGGCCATGAGGGTTAAAGGGTCATGATCAGGATTTCCTAAGCAGAAGTGAGCAGTAGTGAGCAGTAGTGAGACTGCATATTAGCTGAGCACAACAAAGGTAGTGTGCATCAACACGACCTGGTCAGTGCTTGGTCAGCTCCTGGCGACACAGCAGTCCTCATAACTCTGCTGGACTCTTACGGTCTTGCGGTCATGTAGGTAAAGGAAGTGCTTCTCCTTCAATTCCACATGATGTGTTGACAGTGGCTTGAGAAGTGGGAAGTCAGAGAAGTGGATATACTCTTCCTTGTTCTCCTCTGTACGCAGTTACAAAATGTGAAAAAGACACAACTGGAAATTTAAAACATGGGGTTTACGAAAAAATAACTTCAGGTTAGACATTGAAATTGAAAGTGATGCCAGGAGAGCAGGAGAAAGATGGTGTGAGTACATGCCAGTCAACCTTGTGTGCCACGCAACACAAACAATATTTGAATTACTGTTAGAAGTCTTCAGTTTGAGCTTTCAGGTTTTGAATAAAATATTAAGTTTTAATTCATGTATATATTATTTTTTAAAATTATCAAATGGAACACTGTAGGAATGGTCTGAATATTTTTGCAAGGAACTCTATATGTGCCTCTTGTGGCAAAGTTTATTGCTACAATAAATCAACTAGAATACTTAACTTTTAAAAAGAAAAGCTGTTTTTGGTTTTGTATCTGTATTTTTATAAACAGATGAGGAGGTTATTATTTTCTGAACTATTGCCTAGATCTGTTAAGTGTTTATGTGTGTAAAATGCAAAATGACTGTGTCTGAGCACTAAACTTGTACTGTATATCTCTGATTTTTCCTGTGTTTAACGGGATTATACAAAAAGTATTTTCTTTTTGAGTGTAGCTGCAGCATTTCATGTTAAGGCAAATACAAAATCTACAAAATACATGATTACAAAATCCAATATTATTATTTTTATTATAATAGTGATTAATTCAAATATTGTAAAAGTTATGACTGATCATCATAAGATCTTACTTTTAAGCTTCATGGTTGCTGTCAGATAACATGGGTTGTCCACAGGGTACACATGAAATCAACAATACCAACTCAAACACATACAGTACAGCCAAGGTGGATACAATAGTATCCTCAGAAGGGCCTGCCACTCAGCAGCAGTTATTGAGCACCAGGAGCTGTTTATGTAGAAGGAGATTGTCAGCTCCAGCCCAGCAGAAACCAACAAATCTGGCCAACAGAGGGCCACTTCCTTATCACATCTGAATGGCCTGTTGTGGAGAATCAAACTGAAAAAAAGTCATTTTATTTACAGCATCTGTTGTAGAGGCAGTTTAACAGGGTTTGACCCCCAAAATTCACTTGGAGTGACTTTGACTCTGCAAACTGGCTCCAAAGCTTTAGGTTTTACGAGGTTTTAGAGTTCCCTCAGCACAAAAACTGCAGAAAACAGAATCCATGCTCTTATAGCTTACTTGGGTACAAAAAGATGTCCTTGAGCCTGTTTGTTATTTTGCAATTGTCAGCTATTTATGTAACACACAAGGTCCCATAATGTCTGTTGCACATCAAGAGCTTTCTGTAGTTTTTTAGCCCTTGTGTGCACCAGCTATTACATACAGGCCCACCAATGCAGACAATTATGATTGTCCATATGTCAAACAAAGAGTTACTACTGTCCCATTTGAGGTTTAAAATTGTGGTCTGGTGTACATACCATGGGCCACAAACATTAAATAATCAACATGAATGAGACACAGGGCAAAACGTTTGAAAAAGTCCAATCCCTTAATCTAAGACTAGGTGTCCATCCACTTTACACTAGTGCACATGTTTAAGTTTCAGTTTTAGTTAAACCTTTAGACATGAATGTTTAACATTTGAATTTTCACAGATAAGGAATCATTTTATTCTTAAACTAACTATCATTAACACCATCAAATAAAAACATGAAACATCCAGTACAACTTCCGTTTAGTCAGCAAGAGCAGAGGTTATGCCTGCACACTGAAGGTGTCAATTAGCTGCTCCTGATTGCAACTTGACCTAAAACAATAGCAATGTGGTAGTTGTGGAGATTTATATTCTGCTGAAACAAATTCAGTAATTGAGATGTTACAGTACCTTCACTAGAAGCCATCTTAAAATTGTTACGAAAAGACACAAAGAATGCAAATCCAAATGAAAAGGTTCAATTCATACTGCTGCCCTAATTGTCCTGATATTATTCACAATTTTACACAGCCTTCTGTAACTTTTAATTTATTACCTTTAGTCACTTACCATGATAATGAGATGCAGTGTTAAATAGTTGCAAGAAGCTGAACATATTGGCCTCTTTTGCAGATAACTGCAAAGACAGAATGTGGAGCCCTTCAGTTCAGGAAAATGATCAATTTGAGCGTGAAGATGAAAAAAAGGCTTTTACGTATATAACATACCTTTTATTCTGTTTTGAAGTACATAAAAAGTATACATACTGTGTAATGGAAATTAATATAGCAATAGGCATTGGCTCCTGAGACAATCACCAATCATTCAACAGTTATACACACATTTTTATTTAACTGCATTAACAATAAATTTTAACTACACTGTAGTTACATTAGATTATATTATACTACATACAGTATAAACAGGATTAACTGGAATTGTTTTTAACCTAAATAAAAAGCATTATCACCCTGTTTTACTTTATAAATCAGGCTCTGTAGTTTTAAAGTACAGTGTATAACCTCCAAAACTTGTGAAAATGTAACTGTAGCTAATTTACATTGAGTTGTTCTACTTAGAAAAATTATACAGTATGTACAACAGCAAAGTTCAGATTCACAAGTTCTTCCATTACATAAGTAAGATGCCAAACAACTTTAAATGTTGTCAATGTTTGGACAATGTATTATCAGTGTGTGGACAGGTATTTCAATACATTTTACCATAAAACATGTTTTTGTACATATTTCCCCAACTTTTACTTGAGCAAAATGTGTTCCTCTTTCCTGAATAGGATGAAAACCTGCAGCTACTCATCTGATTCTCATGCAGTATTATAGCAGAATTATTGGTTTAAATCACCTCTTCAAATTTGTTTAAAAATCTTAATTTCTAGACCTACAATTTAGTATCATACAAAACACGATTCCCAATGCTGGTACTTAAGAAGCAATGTGGTCTCTGTTTTTTGTTCCATCTGAGTAGTAAATTTCTTAATTGAACACTTAACTGAATTAAATCCATGTGTTAAAGAGTTTTGAACAATTGCAATGTATAAATAAGACGATATGAGTTCAATTGTGAATTTTCTAATTAGTAATTTAGAGCTCAGAAGGAACAAAAATAAGAAGAGACATAAGTCACATACACCCAGATTTTGAATCACCAATCCAAAAGAACTTCACAACAAACACTTGAAAACCAAAATTACAACGGTGTGTTGGAGGTTTCGTTTTCAGAGACTTTCATATGAATACTTGTCTGCTTACAGAAATATGCACAAAGAGAAAATCTGGAAAACATGTGATTCATGTGCTTCCTAAATTTCTCTCCAACGAAAGCATATATGAAAGGGTTCACACAACAATGAATGAGCGCAACAGTTTCTGTCAACTGCAAAGCCAGTTCAATCCGCTTAGCGTTTTCACACTTGTCTCCAATCCCAAACTCTTGCAAGGACTTCATGAAAACTACAACATTATATGGCAACCTGAACACAACAAACACACACACGACCATGAAAATAAGCTTTATGGCTCGGTGCCTTTTGGAGTTCCTGGACCTTAACAGCACGATAAGAATGCTTACGTAACAGTACATCATGATAGGCAAAGGAATAAGCAGGCCCAGAACATTGTCTTCAAAATTATGAATCAGCTTCCATATCTTTTCTTCACCTATGGGGTATTCAGGTTGGCAGGTTGTGCTTTCAGGTGCTACAACCTTGTTAAAGGCCATGGCTGGAATAGAACCACAGATGGCCACAGTCCAGATGCCAATGCTTGCCACTACTCCAAAGCACAGAGTTCTGGCTCTCATAGCAAACACAGCGTGGACTATGGCAAGGTACCTGTCTATACTCATGAGAGTCACGAACAATACGCTGCTGTAGAAACCAATCTGATAAAGGCCAACGATAGCTTTGCAGAGGGCAGTGCTTACAATCTCATGATCAGATGTATAGTACGCCCAGAAAGGAAGTGACAGGACAAAGAGCAGGTCCGATATTGCCAAATTCAGAAGGCAGACATCTGTCATGTTCTTCAGTCTAATGTGCTTAATGAGGATCAGCAGCACCACACTGTTGCCTGCCAGGCCCACAACAAAGACAAGAGAGAAGAGCACTGGCAGGAAGTTGGACCCCAGTGTTATGGTAGTATCTGTGCTACAGGGTTCATAGTCATCGTATAAATAGACGTAATCACTTGATAAAGAGAGTGTTGAAGCTGTGGAGTTCATCCTAGAAATAAAAAGAGAAAAAAATATTTTTTTATTTTTTTAAGTCTTTAAGAGTCCCAGTAAAACTAAATTTTATAGCTAATTAACATGAGAAGGATATAAAGGCCTTTAGCACTGTGCAAATATTTGCTCCACATTTTATTTTACAAGTAATGGAATCACACACTAAGAATGTTCTTGTTAAGGTTTTTTTAGGACAGTTTGGCATCAGAGATTCTGACTCCACCCACTTGGTTGAGGCCCCACCCATTGAAAAGGGGGAGGAGCTAGAACCCCGCAAGGAGACAAAAGTTCACTCAGGAGTAGAGAAGGGTTGGAAGAGTTATGGAGAAAGACGAGTGTGGGTAAGAGAGAGGAGCTCTTGCTATGGTATTTATAGTTTTTTGGAGTGGTGGAAGATATAGAGTTAGAGTCATTACTCCCAGACTTTCTTTAAAAAAGCAATTTAAATAGTTTTCAAAGATAAGATATTTATAAATACTGATTATGCTCTAAATACCTTAAACCCACATGATAGTTGTGCAGGTCCATTCCAGTGATTCAGTACTGAACATACAGTGTTTTCTACAGCATTTTATATTTTCACAAAACATTTAATAGTCTGCACAGGCTTTATTATTTTGGTGGTATATAACTTACATGTCATAGCTGGAATTATATGCCATCATGTTCTGCAAATGAAAGAATACAGAGTGTCAGCGGAAAAAATAGTGCAGTACATGGGAATTCACCGTATTTGCATAACAGTATCCTGCATATTTGCATAACAGTACATAAGATCTGTACATAAACAGATTCACTTTGAATCTTAAATAACACAGAATTTATGTTGTACAACATACAAACTACTGCTATAAAACAAAAAAATACAGAAAAAAACAAAATCAAACCACCAGTATGATTAATCGAATTATCATAAAAATATCTGGAATTTGCTGGTTTTGTTTCCGCAAACAACTTCATAGGTTTTTTCATACTGTAGTAGGGTGAAGCAGCTGTGTAGATACTCAGGCTAAAAACAATATTTTTTTAAATAGATGGAACCTGCTTCATCTTTGTCTTATGACCTTTATGCAGCAAACCTCACCTGGTATTTATGAAAGAAATTAAGGTACAGTTATCAAAACCTCGTTGAGATGGATGGGCTTACTTATTTGTTTTTTGCAAGCCTAATCTCCAAAAACTTCTGGTGGGATGTGAGTCAATTTACTCCTTAATTCTTTATGTTCATCAGTAAATTAATTTCAGACACACTATTTATTCAATAGAAATAGAAAAGGGCTTTTACCACTTAATTTTCTACATATTTTTAGCAGAATAAAATAAATTTTAGTGACAATAGACTGAAACAAATCTGTTCATGTTCCACCAATGTTTTTTAAATATATATTGCTCTTCTCTATTAAACATGTTCATGTCACCAGACTGAGTACTAGTAAAGTGTGATCTTAGAAGCCACCTTAGAATTTTTTTAGATACGTTTACTTGAAATTTCGTGCATCTTAAAGAATGAAAGTTACACGTATTTTAGTTCCATCTGACTCTTACCCATGGTCTGATTTTGGGTTTCATGAACTTGTTAACTCAGAAATGTATGTATCTTATGAATGAACAATCCTAGCACAATTTAATGATTAATTAAGGACCAGTAAACACAATTGACTCTAATTTACCAACTAAAATTTAGAAACTGGTGATACAGTCCTTTAAAGTTTATTATTTCTGGTGGTATCATAATATATTATACTGTTTATTCTTTCATTTTCAAAGCAAGATTATCAAAAAATTAACTTTTGGAATCACATCAAAAGCATTACATTTCATAAGAAACATTAAAATGTGTTTAAATTAAACAGAATTACAATTAATTGAATGTTTGTTTGCATTCTGACTTGAATAAATAATAATTATCGGTGACTTCCAGCCATTTAAAATAAACGAGATAAGAAAACTGTGTATATCACCATGTCATCCTGCTGAATGCTGCATTTGTGTATCTTTTTCGTTAAATAATAGCTTGCTGTTATACTGTATCACAAATCGACTTAATTTTGCTGTAGCCAGGGTATTAAATCCTGATATTCAGTCCAGAGACTGTAGTGTGGCCAGTCCTTGAAAACATGGAAGTAAAAAATTACTGCTTGAACGAGAAGATTTCATTTACTCTTGCTGGCTTACTGGCTGCCCCATTCCTCTAGCTTCCAAATGATCAAACCTTTCATCCTTTCAGAAACCCCATTATAAAACTCCCCACATCAGTACCTCCCCCCCCATCACAATCCACATTGTCATTGTTAACCACCGGTTACAGTACTTTCTCAAAGCCCCTCACGTTCTGCAGGTCCGCTTCCTGAATGACAGTAGTATTTGATGCCTTGTTTTGAGCTAATCCTACCACTGTACCAGCCATATTACCATTTATAAAGTGTTTTAGATGATTTTTTCATTTGTTTTGATTTATTACTTACCACAGCCAGGTGAGACGACTGTTTTCGGTATTCGCATAAAATTCTTGAAATTCTGCTCTTGATAATGTGTGCTCTGACATAAAGATGTGACTTGATTTAACTGACACGTAGACACATTTCCTGTAAAGTGTGCTGTGAGGACCTTTCCTTTTGCACTGTTAAAAGAAAGATGTGTGAAAAGATGTTCCTGTATTTGCTCTGCCATCAGCATTTGTTTGCTTTTTAAGTAAAAGTCCCTGAATGGATTGTGGTTTCGAACATCAAAGGCAAATAGATTCAATGACTCAATGTTTACATGAAATCTAAATGAATGATATACGTTTTCTGTACAATGTAACCATTCCTTAATAAATACAAAAATAACAGTTTCAAGGAAAAGAATGCTATAGTCACAGAAAATTAGCTCATCGGCCTTCTAAATGTGGAGACTGCAAGAGACTACTGGAACAAAATTTAATGTTTCATATCATGGAATGTAAAGCAGTTACAGAAAACCTTAACTTGATGCTAATTTATTCCATTATATGTCTTCATAACAAAAAAAACACTGAAGAATTGTCTCAGAGACAACAACTGACTCACAATCACATCAGATGGTCCTATTGCTGATCCCAATGGTGCAGATGTCTTAACCCATTTTATAAGAAAAAAATAGACCTTCACCACAATAATCATGAAAATCCTTCCAGTCGCTGCTGATGAGAAGCATCTCCATAGCATTTATGGGACATTTAATTTCCTTGTGAGATCACTTTAAAACAGGAATGGAGTCCACCTGTAGTCACTTCAGTGGTTGACATGATGAAGAAATACACCTGTCTACATAAGTTCACCCAGCTGACATAGCAGAAAGTCTTCCACGGACACCAAGGAGTACAGCTCTGTCAGAGAATTGTGAGGAGGAACAGATTTGGGAGGAGTATAAAACCATCTCTAGTGTGTTGAAATTTCCCAGGAACACAGTCAGGTCCATCATTAGGGAATAGAAAGAATCCAGAACCACCCGGATTCTGCCAGAGCAAACCATCCTCTCAAACTACAAAACTGGGCAAAAGGAACCTCGGTCAGAGAAGTGACCAAGAATCCAGTGACCATCCTGACAGAACTACAGATGTCCTTGGCTTAGACTGGTGAACCTGTCCACCGGACGACAACCTCTGCAGCACTATACAGATTTAGTATCTATGGGAGATAGATAGAGACCACTCCTGAGAAAAGGTTGCAAGAATGCAAACTCTGAGACCATGTGGCAAAAGATTCTCTGGTCTGATGAAGCAAAATGTGAACTCTTTGGCCTTAATGTAACATTCTATGATTGGTGAAAACTGAATATACTGTACAGTAGCTCATCACCCATGTAACAACATGAAGCGTGGTGGTGACAGTATCATGTAATGGGGATGCTTTTGATGGCAGGGACAAAGACACTTGTCAGGAATAATTAATGGAGACAAACATAGGCAAATCTTTCAGGAGAACCTGTTTCAATCACCAAAAGACCTTGGACTGGGGCAAAGATTCACATTCCAACAGGACAACAACCCCAAGAGTATAGCCAAAAGGACACTGGAGTGGTTGAGTGGTCCATGAATGGCCTAGCCAAAGTCCAAACTTGAATCCCATTGAGATTCTGTAGAAGGACATGATGATGGACTTGTAGCTCACTGAAGCTCCCCATCCAACTTCACAGAGGGCGAGCAAATCTTTCAGGAAGAATGGGGGAAAATCCTCAAATTCAGATGTGGGGTGTGTGTGTGGGGGGGTGAATACTTCACTAAACAAGATATTTCCGTTTCATTTTTTATAAATTTTTGTTTCAAAATATAAATATGTCTCCCCCATTAAATTGTTGTATAAGTTGTGTAAATGAACGGAAAATCTAATTTAAATGATTATTGTTCAATGAGATATCTCTTACAAATGCATGAAATTAAAAGCTTTCACACTATCGCTCCCTGAAGTGATCATTTTTTCCTTTTTTATTTTATATGTTTTAATTTCACTACCTAAATACAGTTTCAATAAAGACAGCAAGTTGTGCAGATCACATACTGTATATACTTGCACAGCTTTGTTTACCAATTTTAAACCATCTTGATTTGAGCTTAAAATCAATTTCTTTTTAGATTAAGGAAAACTGCAACTAAATGTTATGCTCCATTTCTTGTAGCCTGTTTTCATTATCTACAGCTAATCGGTTTTCTCCTTGTGGTGTGGGTCCTAACCCTGTCCAAGGTCCTGAACTCTTGCTGAAAGCTCCCTCTCCTCATTTGAGCATGCAGAAGAGAAGAGCCATGCCTGTGCATTTTTTGCATGTGTAGGAAGCATTCAAATAAACTACAAGCATTACAAATGATGAATTCAAACCACTAAGAGCAAAATGTGTGAAGTTGGAAAAAATGTATTCTGTGTCACATTGGTATTGTGAATGAAATAATGTACTGAAGTGGAGAAAACTGTCTCTGACAGGGAGAATCAACTTCAGGAAAAACAGAATAAAATATTTTGTTGTGCTCTTATACAGATTTTTCTTAAAGTTATTGCTATTATTGTTTTAGGAAGCTGGCATTGAAATGCTCTCCTACTTTACAAGTTGACAGCAAGAAAAAATGACTCAAGAATGAGTTGCTGCTGATGGTGCAAATATATTTTTTTCTTTACACATCTTGTGGTTTTTTAAAGGTTTTCTTTCCTTTCCTCGAACTGCTTCTTCCATTCATCATTGTACTTCCTCTTTTCACTTCATTTTTTTGCATCACACAGTATATAAAGACAGAGCTTACCAACGGAAAACTCTGTTGATCAATGTGACACTCTCCATGGAAACATCACAAACCAACATAAACATACCAGGGTTTTTTTTGTTTGTGTGGGTATTCTGTAAGAAAAACCTAAATTTAAATTCACATCGTATCACTTTCAATAATAGCTAGTCATTTGGACACAGCCAGGATAGACTCTGGGCTGTGTTACTGTGGCAGTGGGAGGAGCCGCGAACTCCGGGAAAAGACGACGCTCCGTCTGAGGGGCACCGGTGTAAGTTTAGGCAAAACCCCCCTCAAACAAAACACCAAAATGGGAGAAAAAAAAAGAAAAGAAAAATGCACCCGCTGTGCACTGTGGCATCCAGGCTGGACTTACACTGTCTAACGGGGTCCAGTCAGGAGAAGCATGGAGAGCAAGGACAAAACAAAAAGAGAACTCAGCCTGTCCCGGGAAGATACACAGTGGGACGGGCGAAAAGGAAAAGAAAATTAAATGAAGGAAGACGTTCATGGACTGTGTCATGTCTGGTGTTTTTTTTCTCCCTTATACTGTTTTGTTGTTAAACTGTTCAGCTATGGTCTTCCTTCACGTTTTAAGAGGCAAGAAACCACAAACGCATGGTTTTCAATGGGCAGAAATTACAAAGCTGAGAGAGATAACTGTAAAGATCTCGTATTGTTCTCTTTTGTTATTTAAAAAGTGAAGAAAAAATTTGTACCAACAAAAGAAAAGAATGACATAAAAATTATTCAAGTGCAACACACTTTTTTTCATTTTCCTGATTCCCAGGCACACGAGCACAGCTTAAATCTCAGTTTATTATGTTTAATTTTTTTATTGCTTTTTAGGGAAAAGGAAGAATATTACACGGTACCATATACAATAATGAACAAATGCGAAAAATCATCATGACATGAAAAACTTGGTAAAATCTCGATTTATTATATTGACAGTTTAAGCAAGAGAAGGTAAAAGCAAAGTACAATTTCATTCATTCTTATGCACTTAAGAGCTTAAGTTGATTTCAAATATAAAACTAAAAAACAATACTTCAGTTTTTTAGGTAACAATACATTTGTGCAGAGTTATATGCTTTAAAACTATACAGTATGTTTGTACTGGAGATTCGCACATTAGATTGTTTTGTTCATTACTTTTTACACACTGTGTTTGTAAAGGTGTAATCAATAAAAACAGCAACCAAAATAGTGCACACTTCCTACTAGTGTTTAATTTGCTCATAATGTAAATGTTCAGATAACATCTTATGATTTAAGCTCTACACATTCCCTACATATCCAAACATTGTTTGAGTATTGTATCGTTTCACAACATAGTCTAGAACAGTCAGTTTCATTGGAATATTCTTCAAACTCAATGGTTCCCATCTTATACAGTATATACAGTATAATTTATGTTTATGCATGTAATATTCGGTCAGAATTCTCAGTCTCGAATTTTACTTTTAATGTTATTTTTATTGCTGTAATACTTCTGCAGTGTTTGCTACAGTAATTATCTTATGTCGGTATCATCTGCTACTATACCAGAATCCAGATCATTGTTATGATCTGGCACAATGAGCTGCTGTGGTTCTGGTATGGGCTAAATTCAGCAAGTTAATTGATTGAAAAAATAACACTTCTTCCCTGAAGGTGCTTTTTCAAATTTGATGTGCTTGACTTTGAGGTTGACAAAACTTTATGCTTTTGTCAGCAGAGTTTACATTTAATGGATAAATACTTCTCTGGTGTGTCTGTGTCAGCAAGGAGCTCAAATTACTCATAATTTGTCTACATCTAGCTTTTAATTGTATTTGTTTCACCACATACCATTTTCACACAACATACAGTATGATATCTTATTGTTATTTTATGTTTACAGCATCCTTGGGTTTGTAAAGGTGCTTTATAAATAGTTTCATTATTATTATTATCATAATTACATGAGTGATTTTCACTGTTGTGTATTTACACTTCCTGACTTAGTGTACATGCATCCTTTATGCACCAGCACAGTTTGATAATAGCGTAATGAAATAGTCCAAACATTGTCGAGAAAAAAATATTTATTATGATATATAAACACACAACACTGCACAACAACCAACAGTTACAATATAAACAATTGTTACACTATGTACAGATATTGACAGTTCAATGAGTTTCAGAGCTCTACCGTCTATAGATAGATAAACTACCCTTCTAATCTAAAGACATAAAACACCTTATTTGGTCACAGAGAGTACATGAGACCTGAGAAAATAAATCTTACCTAGGTCTAAATCTCCCTTTCTAAATGCATACTCGCCAATGAATGGAAATCAATTTAGTCATTCCTTAAGTAAATTAGGCAGGAAGCTCTCTTCTATAATAATAAAGCTCAGAGTCCTTTCAGCAACTCACATTACTGTACTGTACCTAGACATTGCCTGGTTTCAAGGAGGTCTTCACTTATGATACAAGCTTTGGCTTGTATAGCAATACAATGGATGATGTTTCTTCTTTGCTTCTTTTCTTACTTCCCCTATCTTCTGTCTCTGCATTTACAGTATGTTTCAGTATTTACAGTATGTTTCTGCATTTACAGTATGCTACTGTACATTCCCATGGAGACTTAATGACTTCACTAGGAATGGCCTGGACACTTTTGGATCATTTAATCATCTGTGTCTTTCTCCATGATTTCAAACCTATAGCAATGTATACAGTAGCAACACAATATCTATTCAAACAGATATCTCTCCAAACCATCTGAGTAAGGCAATCAAGTTGGAAAGTACAGATGTTCTAACTATCTGAACCTGAACTTCCATGCCCAGCCTTAGTCACAACAATACAAACATGTAATCAACTTCTGAAATTATATAACCTTAAAAAGTCTAAAACTTATGCTCATGTAGGAATGAACAGGTGGAGAGCAGTTCAGTGTAGTCCTGAAACACATCCACGTTATCTCATTCCTTCACCTTAGAAATCAGGTTTCTAGATGTGTTTTATACAGAGATACAGCATGCATATTCACCTGTGTTGCCATAAAAGTGGTGTTAGGAAAAGAGACATACATGGAAAGCATATATCCTTAAAAACCAGCACGGAAAGTATATTTTTGACATCCTGAAATGCTATATTTGCAATGTCCATTTCTCATATACTGTATCTCTCATAGTCACAGTCTGTTTGAACAGGCTTCTCTCCTACTGAGGCATGTGACAGGTATCCTGCTTTTAAACATGTTGGAAAACCAGTCTCTACACACAGCAGTGTATAATTATGCAATGCGGTAAATCTTGGGATTGTTTTCATTAGATCAGACTCCTCCTTGAAAGACATCGAGGACCTCAGCTGCCTAGTGAAAACTACATGTAGGTAGACTATCCAAGCTGGATGCACACTGTACTGTTTAAACATGCATATCTGAGCCATGACTGGCAGACAGTGAGGGGGCTGTGACAGAATGCTTCTGGCAATTGTTTATTCTTTCTGCTACAGTGCTAAATGGAGACATTTCATTCCAGTCCTAATTTAAACTCAAAGGCAACCACTAAGAGGTTCCTTTTAAAATGAAGCAGTTCCAGACGTACAGTAACAAGCAGTAACAGAAGAAAGCAAACTTTAACATGTATTTACATTCTAATTTCATTATTGTTAAAGCAATATGTGTAAGAAGATAACCAGTGTAAGATATATTAACAGAGTAAAGATATTGTTTTAACAACCATTATATTCAAGTCATAGTTATCTTAATGTATTCTACAAGTTTCATATTACAGATTTTCCTTTTACACATGGTGTGTAAAGCTTAATGAATACTGTATCTGTTACTGGAATAAAGGCACTATGAACACAGTTTAAGAGAAAGTACAAAACCAGAAAAACACACAGATGATCTCACACAATCAATTCAAACATGAGTCAGTACAGGCCAGGGAAAAAGAAAAGGTAAGGTAACATTTATACACTAGGATGGATCATAATTTATTAAATCTCTAAACCTCACTTTAACATTATAGTAATTTGGTTTTAAAATTAAGCTTTACTTAATTACTGTTAGAATTACTGTTTGCTTGCCCACTTCTGAGTGACAGCAGTCCATCATTTCACTGGTGATGACTAAGCCATTCATAGAAATGAAAGCATTCAAACAGGTGTGCAAATTCCTGCACTCTAATAGATAATATTGTCCAACTCCTGTGGTGGTTCATTATGAAAATGATCTTGATTGTAGACGCAGTGTGGACAAACACACAAAACTGTCTAGATATAAGACTCTCCACTTGACTTCTTATAGGTTGTATTGCCAGTCTCTGACCATTCAAACCGATGTGTTTTGCATTCTTTGCAAATAATACAATTCCACCATGGAAACATACGTTTTTTAACTAACTTCCTGAACTCTTGTCCAGCAAACGCATAGATCACTGGATTCAGACAGCAATGGACAAATGCTAAAGTTTCTGTACAGTGCAGTGCAAAGTCTATGTGAATGGAGAGTAAACATTTATCTATGTAGTCATTGATATATCCACCTACCTCCAAAGATTTTAAGAAAATTACAATATTGTATGGTGTCCAAAACAAGACAAATACAGTAACGACAGTAAAAATGAGCCTGATTGCTTTTTCCTTTTTGCAATTCCTGCACTTTTTTAAAATTTGAAGGATTCTTAAATAACAAAAAAATATGATACAGAGAGGAATAAGAAGACCTAAAATATTTATTTCAAAATTTATGACCAGCTGCCACTTTGTCTTCTCATTTTCAGAAAACTCAGTTTTACAAGTGAATCCAGTCGACTCATTTTTCACTTGGCTGAATACTAGTGTAGGAACTGAAGCAAAAACACTGATAGCCCATGTTACCACACTCATAAGTAAACCGTAGGTAACAGATCTGAGCTTCGTAGCAGAAATAGCACATACTATTGCCAGATAGCGATCTATACTCAGAATCATGATGAAGAAGATGCCACTGTAGAAGCCAATCAGATAAAACCCTGTGATTGTTTTGCACATGAATTCTCCAAAAGCCCAGTTGTTGTTGGCTGCATAGTGAGACCAGAAAGGCAGAGAAAAGACAAAGATTAAGTCCGATATGGCCAAGTTCAGGAGGTAAACATCAGTCATGCTTTTTAACTTTTTGAATTTGATCAGGACACAGACAACCAGGCCATTTCCAATCAATCCAGTTATGAAAACCAAGGTGTAAAGTGTTGGAATAAACCATGGTGAAAAAGATTTAATATTGTCGTTGGTGCACGGACTGGTGGAATTATCAAGATCATAATAATCTTCGTACGATTCAGTTTCTGTCATCCTGAAATGTCCTGTCAAAATAAAGTTAAAGATGAAAGATAAAAAATAAACACTGGATGTAGTTTGCTTTACTCTAACCCGTTCAGTATGTTATTAGTTTGACAGTATAAATTTTAATTCTGACAGGAAGAAATGTTTCAGCAAGTGCCCTGCGTATTTTGAAATGTATGAAATATTGTGAAATCAAGAGAAAAATAAAGACTTTTAATTTTCTTTAAACATTGATGGTCCTCTTAATGCTGCACTAATGAGCTCTGTTTTTTTTTTACTTACTAATGGAGACATTGCATGTTTATATTCTTATTTCTGCACATGGATCTACATTCTGAAGTGGGCAAATGGTAAACTACTGTATATTTTAGGATTATCACAAGCATTGACCCAGAAAAGTCTGGGGGTATATTACCATAATTTAGTATTTTTTCAATATCAGAATGCCAAATCAAATCCTACTCCACGCTTTGCCAACTTAGAGCCTTCTTGGAAGTTCCGTATACAACATGGAACTACACCCTGGACAGGACAACAGTCCCTCTCAGGACACACACACGTAAACTACCAGCTGGCTTCATCAGCATCAGTCTTTGGAAGATGTCAAGAAAGTAGAGAAGTCAGAAATACCACAAGGACTCAAGGTGAACATGCAAATGTGCAAAAATATTTAACATTCCAATTGTTAGTAGTATTTAGCTGATACTTTAACTATTGATACAGCTGGGTGTTTTACAGAGTTTGAGTGCAATACCTTGCTCACCAGCAGTGCTCCACCCAGGATCTGAACCTGCAGCTTTCCAGTAACAAGTTCAGAGCCTAACCAGTGCACTACACTGGAGACCTGCTGTACCCTGTGAACCTGCCTGTTCCCTGTGAGAAGTGTGAGTGACATACTGTATACCAACTGAATTATCAGCTCACCAGACAGGGAAAATGTAGCTTATATTAATAATGTATTTGTTTGCTTTACGATAATCTAAAAAATCAATGGCTTAAGGTGAGCATGTCCTGGAAGAGAGAAAACAGGGGAGCTGTAGGCAGTGCAGAGATGGGTGGCAATACCTGGGACACAGGAAGAGCAGTGCTGATCTTACAGGCAAGCCTGGAGCAGTAGCAGGCTGGGAACACCAGTACTGTGGTGAGGAGCTTGTGGTCAAGCCTGGAGCAGTAGCAGGCTGGGAACACCAGTACAGTGGCGAGGAGCTTGTGGTCAAGCCTGGAGCAGCAGCAG